AGGCGTGTTCGCATTAAAACATAATTATAACATTTGTAATACAATTGTGAATGGACGAGGCTGGTACGAGAGGTACGAGTGGATCTAATTGAATTGGCGCGTATGATGAACGGATGAGCCCGGGGCTCGGATGAAAGTCTAAACGTCGAAAACTTCTGCAAAGCGAGTACGGTGGGCGTAATGTTTTTTAACGTCTCGCTAGTTTGTTTCGATATAGCTGCAATACAGGTATATATATATATAAATATGTATAGTGTTGTATGTAGGCATAGGGCATATAGCAGATGGACATTTCAAAAATATAATATAATTAGAAATCGCAGCGTCGTTAATATGACGTGTTTTTAATCGTTCTTACAACCTAACCTTACAAAACGACGACCGTGCAGACGTTTATGTATCATCATTACACATAGGTAGGTTGGGTGAATCCTTAGAATGCATGCGGATATCAGTTTTTAAATTTATTGTGATTTTTGAACCCGAAAGTCCCAATTTATTGCGTTGTGACGTAATTCTATACATCTAGCCGACACGGTTCATTAAATCATTTACAGAGACAAAATGGCATATATATATATATATGTATAATGTAGTTTGTTGCAGAAAACGAAAACGTATTAAATGATTTAAGAGATATAGCTCATCTCCATACCTATCGGATGTCTCTAATAAATTAAATGTTTGCATATTTAACCTAACCTAAAAACATTAAATAAAAATATAATTTCGTCGAATGAAATAGTATTTAGTATGTTGATTGGTTTGTGAAAGCTGTATGATTTATGGTAAATAAAAAATCATCAAATCTCTTTATAGTCTAAACATATACTTTACCTTTATAAACATAGACGCCGCGAATTGCATCACGCCTGCAGTAATAATAATTATTCTAATACCGTACCGTAATAATCTACCTATTTGTAATGAGTCCATGCGTCTGTCGACGTACAAGTATTTATTTTAATTCCAAAATACATAAATAATGTGAGTGACTATTTATCACTATGCACGTACTCGCCGTGTTGCTTGTTATAAGCGCGGAAATTTAAATTGAACGAATGTGGTACTAATTTTGACTTTCGAGTGGGCTACAAGACCGGGGGTGTATTAGTGCGAGGTGTATCGGCTGTGAATTCTATATATTATGTACACTTGAAGCTTGTGATAAACTATTGCGAATTTGAAAAGTGCAGATGAAAACCAAAATGACATAGGTATGTTCACAACAAATGTTTACTCGACAATAAGCTTTTACTTATTAAATGTTTACGCAGTGTTTGCAATATTTTACCAGGTAAGTATAGGGAAATTTAAAAGAATGACTTGCAGGCTGAAGCTTATTTCTCGTGTTTTACCACAAATCTAGAAAAGAATTAGGTGAAACTTGTTGAGCGCTTTCGTTACCCTTAAAAGTTCGTTTTAATAAAAAGTAAAAACACAGAATTGTGAATAATTTTAAAAGTGTATTTAATAAAATATTGAAAATTGAAAATTATTCATATTTGTGGAATAAAAATCTCTTTACTAAACGGTTCTTTACAGCTTCATTCTCAGAATTTAGAAAACATAACGTCCCGGAAATAAGTATAATTTATTCATTAAAGTATTAAACTCATTTTAGGTGTCCGGTCAATTTTTCAAACAGGTTAAACGCAAGACATTCAAAATACTGGACATTGAATAACCGATATTTTGTGTTTATTATCGTCATATATAAATAATATGTTTCTGAAAAACTCCCGAATGCCTACAATATGCCTAATGCCTGACCATCACACAACTATAATATAACATAATAATTATAGGTCGGTAGGTATGCCAAAAGTAAAGTAAAATACGGATCATTGACTGCACCGGAAATCATATTCCTCATTCGAAAATACCTTTTGGGCTTAGAAAACGTGTAATATTCACAATTTCACAATTATCTATATAATTCAATAACACTATTAGGATCAGGATGCAACCTAAAACAATATTATCTCGCGACAGAACAATGGACGGGTGTCCGGGAGATCTCAAGATCAACACGTTTGATTTTTTTTGGTTTTGTTTTTTGATTCTCGTTCACGTGCCAAAGAATCGTTAGATATTAAAAACACTATATACGCGTATTATATACTCGCACAAGGTTTTCATGGCATTTTTTTATTTTGCGTTTCGCGTACCTCCACGAAATTCGCACGCCACCGAACAACCGGTTTGGCGCTGACTTCTTTTATTCGATTTTTCTCTCTTTCTTCGATACTATATTTTTATGTAAGCGGATCTGGGCGATTCCTGCCTGCCCATAAACGATCAAACGCGGTGCACGCGAGTTTAAGAAACATATACAACGGCAAGAACAGAAGTCAAATCGCGTAAAGCAAAACCGATATCGCATGTGCACAATAAAAATATTCTAACCCTTTCAAACCTTGGGGTATTAAATTGCTACTTCGGTTTCAAAACTCGTGGAAAAATCGTTAGAAAACGTTAAGTTATATTATATTATGCTGCGTATAATATTATGTTATGTTGCTGTTTATACGCGACCATATGATGAAATCGCGTTTGTACCACACGAAGAGATTGCGCCAGACTTTGCATGATTCTGCGGCGGGTGAAGTACATATATATATATATATATATATATATGTATATGTATACCGGATACCAGGTAACATATTATTTCATCCCGATTATTTGTACATATCTGTACAGGTATCAATATATATCTATTTTAGTAGCCACTCCATTATATAGGTATACATATGAATTTAAACAAGATATGCAAAAATTATGAATTTTTAATCACCTATTTTTCGGTTACATTCGTGTTTTAGGTACGTTGTAATTCAATCGATTATTATAATATATCCTTATCGAATTTCGAATACAATCGTACGATTTTTTGGGACAGCAAGATGAAAACACGATAAAAACATGTTTTAGAAAGACATTATACAATTCACATTTTAATAAAGTGTGAGAAATTTATTTTACCGAAAATAATTTAAAACCTATATGATTATATAATAACCGATAACACTGTTAGATTACATAGGAACTTATAAAAGTAAAAATTTGAACAATAATTAAACAATTATACGGCATAGTGTAATTTACTGTGCCTACGTACGAATGTTTAAATAACAACAATAATAGATTATTAATTTACATAAAAATTTGAGAAAAGTAAACTAAAAAAAAAAATTAGGATAGGATACAGACTCACAAAGTGAAAAAATAACAAATATTAAACACTCAGATCATAAATGTGTGTAGTGCAGTGTACCTATATACATTACCGTGTTTTTCAACCAGTTTAAAGTAACCAATTAATCCAAATATCTTCTCAATTCTTAGTATTATTTTTTTATGACATATGTTTCATGAAATATATAAATAAGACGTACTTGTAAAATATGCTGCAGTATCTAGTTATTATAATTTATAGGCTATTATGAATAACACCTTTTTATCACTAAATAAGCCATTGCAAATAAATTGGTCACATGTTTATTTTTTTATACCAAAATGCATTTTATTCAGGTTCGTCAACCACCCAGCACCCGAGAAAGAAAGCAAATATTGGGGTTAAGATTTAGGTAACAAATTCTGATTTTGTGGTTACAAATTACTACAAGTATATGGTTTGACTTCGAAATTTTAATTTTGGGATTCCAGGCTGACGGGCCTATTTTATTCGGTCGTCATTACAATATATGTTATTTATTCAAACACTTGAACTAATTGAAATGTATCAAGTTGGTTTTACCTTTATATTATAGTGTTTAATTAATAGTAGGTACTTAATACATATTATAATGTGTATGTATTATATAATTATTATTGATTCTAATTTCATTAAAACTTGTAACACATAAAATGTGTACCTAACTAATACCTTCCTAACCATCGCAATAATATTTAGTATTAGTAAACACTAAATATTTGGTTTGTGCCAGTGTGGTAGTGTGTCTCACTATATTACAATGTTTGTTAAATTCTCGTTTAACCTTTAATAAAGATTAAAAATATTTAAATAAACATTAGGTGTTTTAACTGTACATATTTTCAACGATTGAAACGATTCTTGACGACCTTCCAAGGACATTATTGGAGTGCGATAATGTAATCTATATTATATGCACTATGCAGTTACATCATTCTATGTAAATTTAGATTGTGAACTCCGCTAAACAGGCTTTAGTTAAAACAAGTCTCACTACCTATATAAGTATTATACAGAAAATCTACTATTTTCAGAATGATATTTATGATAATTGGTAAGAGATCAATCATGGTTTGTCAAAATGTCAATGACATTTGTTGCGTCTAAAAGTGTTTTAATTTTTCTTTCAATAATTCATTAAATTAGTCAACGTTAAAAACCATATCGTACTCGTATATACTACCTGTAATATTTGTTATTATAAAATTATTTTAGCGGTTTTACGGTTTTAAAGTGACAGTTACTATATAATAATATACTCGTACATGGACTTTGAAAAATAAAATTTAAAAATAATACTAGAAATTTGAGGAATTTTGTCATATCCTTCGCCGACACGATAATGTTGCAAAGAGCAGACTCGCGTATGTATAATATAATAAAAGACAATTTAATAATATAATACAATGACAACGAAGAATATTTTTACTATACATAACATAAAACAACCGAGAGAGTTGTTGAAAACGTATAAAATATAAATGGATTTTTTTGTCCATTTTTTTTTCTTTCCATTCTCATTTTCCCCCATCAGTACGTGACTCGGTTGCGAGTTTTCTAATAGTGAATTGTTTCATATTTTTGTACACTGATTTATTAATATGTCGTATCGACGGCCGCGTGTGCATGATGTGAGCTGCAGTGTATAATATGCATTTTTACATCTATACAGGTACGCGTACATAGCTTATACTGAAGTTGTGTGTGTGTGTGTGTGTGTGTGTGTGTCGTGTGAATTATCTACAGAAATCCATGATGGGTACCACCCCGTCGCACTCACCTGCCAGTAGAAATATCAGCAACATTGTGATCTCATTGGGCTCGGTGTCGTCGTCCGGATGTCCCTGGAACAATAAATTATTATCCGATTATTATAAATGGTCATACGCACAATATATAATATTATTTCGTTGCGTAACTGTGAATAGATATAATACAATATATAACGGGATGTGTATATATGTGCGGTGACGGGATTGAGTTGTCAATGCGTGTCGGTTACGTCCGTAGCGCACAACAATAAAAACCTATAAATGATCTTTATTTAATATTTTGCTTTTGATTGATCTGTTTGAAATTGTTGCAGACATTTTTTTTCTCTCTCACGCGCGCATGCACGCCGCTTCTATCCGTTTTCTATATGCTACTCACTTTGTTCTCTTCTTCGTTATTCGTTTACTTACGAACCGAGGAGAATCGGAAAATAACAGTGAAAATAACGTGGTTGACAACTTCGGGGAAATTTATTAAATTGTACACATATAATTTTATCACGTTTTCCGTGCGGTTAATTTTATTAAGAAAAATCATTACAGACTCAAACATTAGTGAAAAATAAAATAATACTATGTACTATAACTACCTACAGTATAGTACAAATTAAATTTTACCAACTACCCATGTACAACTGTGTAAATAAGTATAAATAATATTTAATTTAATTTAAATTTTCTCGAAAAGTATTACTTTTTGGAATTATTTTTTTCACATGATTTGAAGTCTCTAAAAATAACATTTTTAAGAAAAATTTATTTTTCTATTTATTATTTTTAATGTTTTACTTTTTCTAATGACATATTACGATATTGTACATTTATAATTGTATATTCAAAAATAGCTAGAATATTATTATAAGTATACCGCTCTGCCACTCCATCACTATTGGTTCATAAAATTTTATAAATACTATATTAATTTATTTAAATACGGATACCTACTAAACTAATTATAACTACTCGTTCAATATGCTATTTTAATTTATATTTAAATTCTGCTTCAGAATATGATGAAATTAAAAATGTATAATATCGTTAAAAAAGCAAAACCTTAAACTATTATAATAATAAAAATAAGTGTTTTCACAAACGCAGCTGTTTGGAGACCGAACACGAAACGCCAAGATAATATAGGTATAGGTAGTGAGGGAGATTACAGATGAAACATTGGGACTCAATACAGTCTCAGCAAAATAAGGAGATTGGAGAAGAACACGCACCCTACATAGAATTTTTTGATTTATGAATATCGGTTCGTTTCTTATAATATCCCGATAACATTTTATAATATACCTACAACATTACGACGGCGACGTTTTATAAGAGCGGCTCTCTTGACACTCAGTGAAACACCCGATCGTTTAAGTCTCCACGTTACGCGCTAAACGAAAATTACATAACGGTCCATTATAATATCTAGACATTACCGGAACGACTGTTTATAAGCAGTAGGCAATTATATATAAGTACGCATGTACGGTTATTAAATCTATGAGATTCGATTAACTGCTGCAGATATAGAAGATTGTAAGCAGTATATATATGTATACAATTTTCATACAACTATAACGCGTTATTACGCGTAGTCCGTATCATCGTGCTTAATTTATTATATTATGTACAATAATATTATTGTGTGGACGAATTAATACTATAAACTATTATTATTATTACTAGGTATTGTTATGATTGTTGTTGTTGTTGTTGTTGTTAGTGAACTCGACGCCCGAGTTGAGAAATCCAAATCGTCGACATTTGTTCGTCGTGCCCACGGTCTCAGCTAAAGGTATTAAGTCCTCGGCTGAGTTATAATGTAGACATATTTTAATACGGATGCAATCAACAGGCGTCGTCGCAACTACCTGTAGATATAATGTACGCGAGTACAGCAGTAATAATATTATTATACACACTCCGTTGTGTAGTGCTGTTATAATATCGACTGCTGCCGCCTGGAATGCGAAGTGTCTCAAATCGTTAGGTTATCGAATACATAGGTACATGATTATATACGTACGTATATACATGACTTAACATTGCTACGCGTATATCTTATTATATTACACGGTACAGAAATGCGTCCGCAGATTTTCATCGGACGATATATATACTTACTGCAGCAAGTATGTACGCGAGACGTCGCGTCCTTGACGATCATTGAACGCCGCCGCCACTGCCTATGTGTGACCCTCAGTTATGCGAAATTATATAAATCGATACGTGATGATAATTATTTACGTTCAAATGTACCTATAATACTGCTGCAGCTATGATATCGTGACGAAGCAGAAAATTATGTTATATTTCGGTTTCGGCCCCGGTGACGAATACATATTATACATATCATAATATATAGATGATCTAGCGTCACTCGCTCATTATACATCGGTGGCGTACTAATGTATATTCTATACAAATCACCCTTAATCGTCTCCCCTCCCCTCTCCCCGATTCGTTGTAGAATTATTCGTTCATATACTCGCTTATAGCTCGATTTCGAACTTGACCCACATTCCCACTTGATACCACGGCCTCGGTTTATCACCACCCCCGGGGCTCGAGGATCCGCCACGGATTTTAAAATATTTTTCGACGACCCGACACGGCATTATATTATACTTGTATATATATCATTATACATTATACATGTATATATATTATATTTATGCTGTATTACACACGCCGCAGACGGCCGGATCGGTCGTGACCCATTCGGTGTACCGAACCCGGCAGAAGAAAGTTTTCGCTGCGAATCGTCACGTTGATGATTTATGGACAGGTTTTCGCGGAGAATCCTAATTATATGTATCGACCTGTCATGACTCCGGCGCGGGCACAACGTGCACGGATCTCCGCCGGGTCCACGCCGCTCCGGCAGAAGACTCGTCTAAGCCCTTATTATGAAAAAATATATATCTTAATGTCATAATAATTATTATTCGTCGTCTGCACAGCGGTAAAAGGTACACGCGGGCGGTATACGCGTGCGTAACGTGCCGAACACGCAGGTGGCCAAGATTGTTGTTATTATAATATTATATACGATACGATCACTTTGTGCGAGAAAAAGAACGACGACTCCGTATAATATTGTATGTACCGCAGGTAGGTACTTATAGTATAATATCATATGCTGTACAGGTAGGTACTTATAATATGCAGACGGCTGTGAATTCGCGAATACAATTAGATTCGTTTATAAAATATAGGTACAGCGATGATTATATTATCATATGCATGATACCGCAGCCAGACACGGAGTCGTCCAGTAGTATATGAAATAGCAGCAGTACATAGTCGAAATCGAAACCTATTATATTCTGAAAAATATTTAATAAAAACTTTGTAAAGTTGTAACGAACTTACTATAAGTTCAGGTCTGGCAGTGTTTATAGTAATTATTGTATTTTTCTCAATGTTTTGATGGGGATTTTCTTGATCGACAAAGACCAAACACTATAATAAGCGATGAGGCGTATTATTCGAATCAAATTAAAAATCGATTAAGCCCGCTTAGGCGCATTGTGAAATCATACAGTTCGTTTTGATACAAGCAAACTGATACTCATCTTGTGGTCATTATTTTGATATGTTTAAAAGACAAAATTTGTAGACGAATTTGAAAAATCGTATTACCTATATTTGCATATAGTCACTCGGATGGACAAAATATTAAAAAACCGAACAAAGTTTGAGTGTGATGAATTGTATTACATAATTTGCAATCATATAAAAACTTAACTATAATCATCTTAGATTTCTAATCATTGATTAATAATTAGTGACTTTCAGCTGTTATATCTAAGTATTACTTTAGCAACATTAAAAAAAAATAGGTAGGCATAATTCGTTTAAAACTGCGGTGTAGGTTTGGCCACGAATAATCAGTTAAGAATAAAATGCTAGAGTATCGGTCATAGCCACTCTGCTGCAGGTCTATACACTGGTTGCAATCACAGTAGTTTTAAGTTACTTTATTATCGGTACAACTGCATTTGCATATGGTATGGCAAAAATTTTAAATACCTATACTGGCTATACTATATAGTATATTTCTATTAAATCAGTTTGAATCTGATTTTAATAAGACCAGTCTAGAGACTTGCAGCACACTGTATGAAATCCAAAGGATTATGTTATGTTATACTTACTCCAACTATGTCATATACGCTTTGTTATTATTATAGAAATAAAATCGGATATTTGAATACACATTGATATGTGTACCAAAAATCCTAATTTTACGGCTATTATCAACAGTTTTTCAACGAGAACATTGACCATTATTGCTATGTATAATACTATAACGAATTACGATATAAGTATAATATTTTACCTAGGTGGCTAGGTACTTGAATAGATATCCGTGTATAGATACATATTTTATTTACAAATTTACAATGTTATATAACGAATAAATACTTGAAAAACATAGGTACCTACAGGTATAGTAGTTATTAAAAATTGGTGGTACATTATTGTGTAATTAATTTGTGTGTATAAAATAAAAACGCGTCTAATCTAATAAGTTAACTTAAATTAACATAACATACTCTGTGTCATAACTTGAAAAAGTATTTCATTTGGGTTAAGATCGTTTAATTTTATTAAGCTCACGATATGCTAATGCACTTATGCAAATTTATTAATCAATTTTTTGTAATCGTTAATAATAAGTATAATTATGTTTTTCAGTTTTTTATAGAATAAGAAACTTTACTAAAAAAATCTACGAGTCGTAAGCTATACCTGATCCAATTAATAACGTAAGACTTATATAATGAGGAACTATGTTTTGTCACTCGATGTTTCTATATAATCAATTTTCGTTTCTAAAAACGTATTTGTATATAAATGTGTGTGTGTGTGTGTGTGTGTTATGAATCAAAAACGATAATTTTTGAAAAATGTAGATATAATAGGTAAGGATGTTTCAGTAAATTATTTAATCGTTCTACTAAATTCTACGAATAGAAATAATTGTCCGTAGTTATACAATTTGTTGAACTATATTGATACTGTTATGAAACCATTAGATTTATTCTACCCGTCATAATTTCTATTTGCCC